ATATCAAGTTTTTAATGATATATTTCCAGGAAAGCATGATCACAATGTTCCTTGTGCAGTATGTTATGCAACTAATAGAATTGCTAAACTGATGATTCCTGCAAGAATTGAGTGTCCTGATTCATCATGGACTATGGAGTATAAAGGATATCTGATGACAGAAAAATATGACCATCCTAGGAATGCAGTCTATGAGTGTGTTGATGAAAATCCTGAATCTGTTGATGGTGGTGAAGGCAATACTGATGGTGCTCTGTTCTACTTCACAAGGTCAACCTGTAATGGTCTACCTTGTCCACCTTATGTCAACAATAGAGCTATTACTTGTGTTGTGTGTACTAAGTAACAATTTGAACATGCTTAATAATAAGTGACTATTTCTTGAATTTTTGCTTAGTCTTTACAATACGCTAATTTTTTCTAAGATTTTTTTTTGCTACAGTGTACATATTGCGTATAATTTACTCATTTCTTTGCAAGGGCAAGATAAGTAGTCTGATTGTAGTCTAGTGCGAATCTCAAAAACTGCTCAAAAGATTGTGGCCAAACTTGCTAGACTATTGACCTGTGCAGTATTATTCATTTTGTTTTTGAAAAAGAACTTTGTTGTAAAAAATAGTTAAGAAAAAAAATAGAAAGATATCCTCATATGTCACATGGTTCAGTCATATTATGCTATGGACCTGTTGGTGTTGCCAACTACTACAATTTATATTCAAATATTTTAATATCATTCACCATTAACATTATGTAGAGGGTCTACATGTAAACGCATGCAGCTAAGGCTTTGCATTATAATAACCACATTATTATTATATTGTTACATGAAGTGAGAGTGCTTACCTTATCAGGTGCTCTAACACGAATGAAATGAATGGTAGAAATATGAACAACACTTGAGAGGAGATCACCAGGTAGACACAAATCCTTAACACTAATGAGAACATGACCTTCACCTACTGGTAGAATCTAGTGAAGATAAAAAATATATTAATAAACATTAAAATATTCTATTGCAACTCTTTCTCTCTCCTCCTTACATTGATCTGATGTGAGTCCTTAATGTATTCCACATCAGCGACAGGTGGGCGTGGTTTAATGATATGATCAACGTAAAAGAACGAGGACCCGTGGAGTATGGACACTAAGAACCTGTTGTTAGGGTGATTGTACACCAGAGCTGACTCTGGATCAAGGACTGCTCTGTACTTCAATAACAGAGACAAAGAGGACTCCACTGTAGGAGAATATGGATCCTATGCCATTAATACAAAATAAATACATGAAGATTATTTCTAGCAATTAAAGACATACTACATGCACATGTACAGGTCAATACATAATTACATATCCTTTATTCTTTTCCTGCAGTCACACACTAATGAATATACATTAATGAATACATGTACACATGTAGATGTACATGCATACACCCAATCCCAATTCCTACTTCAATGTACATGTACATGTACATTATGACTTGTAGTGTTAGTATATGTACCTGGAATGATGTGCCAGCAGCTTCTAGTACTTCTATTTGGTGAGTATTAGAACTGAGAGTAATAGAGACAGAGCCTGTAGTCCTTGATAGGCCAGTACTCAGTACAGCTAATAATAACATGAAAAAATAAATAAAATATATAGAGACTGTTATAATTGTACATGTACAGTAATACTTGCCTAAAGGATAAGCAATGCAAGTAAAGAAAATTACAATAAAAGTTGCCTGGATACATGTACATGTACAAGTAACAGTGTAGAAGTAAACACATTATTAATTGATGAGTTCATGGTTTCTGTGGCCAATTATTAAATTTTGATGAGCAACCACAGAATTACAATTCCCAAGTGATAAAAACAAAGAATCCTTTAAAGTATACCCTCTCTTCCTTACCTCTGTTACCATAGTGTCTCCACTGAGAGTTGGGTGGGTTTAATGGTAGGAGTGATGAGTCAGAAGATGACCACTTCCAGTGGAGAGAAGAGAAGTTATCAAACCTGTGCCTCTCTTTGTCATACACAATAACCTCAAGGACCAGTAATTGATTATTGAGTACTGGAAACTGTAAATAAAGATAAAAAATAATAAATACTGTATAGCTAGAAATTTCTGTGGTTCAAAATAATGCAAATGTGACTTCACTTGCAAGCCCATTTAATAGCATTAATACCATACAAGATGATTTATTGGCGAGGAATTAATATTGGTGATTGGCAGTTTTATGAAGAATTCGCCAATATAAAATCCACCATTTTGTTTCAATCTAAGCATACTCTTTCAGCCTCTTTGCTGCAAATTGTTGCTGGTATGTGTACTAATAAACCACACCCAAGTCAATTATTACACACTTACTAGAATGGGTGAAGAGTCCCATGATACGGCAAGACAGTAGTTCTGAAAAGAACTGGTAAAAGTAGCTCCAAAGAGACCAAGGCTTAGTACAAAAGAAGAACACACTGCAAGGTGCTTTGCTTCAATATCGCACCGTTTTCAATTAAAATAGCATCTTGGTTTCCATGGTTTTTAATTAATTTTTTATTACCACAAATACAATGTAATTGCAGCCGCAAATATATCCTAACCTACAGTATTTTTGTTCAGTGAGGTCAATTTATTGATTAAAGTAAAAGAATCTGGGTCGTTATATAACAAAGGCGACGCCATAAATAATAGAGTAAATGAAAGGGATCAAAAAAACTTCTGTGTGGGCGTAAAAATAATGCCATTTGATTGTATTGTTGCTAAGCAAAAATTTGTTGACTAGGCGGTTTGTTACTTTTTGACCACAAAATTCTTGTTTTTTTTTTCATCAAAGTTACAATAACTCCAAGAAGATCCTCTGATGAAAAACAAACTCAACTACCAAGGCCTAGGAGATGCTATCTATGTATATGAAATGTAATACTGTCTTAGCATTGCTAAGGACATTAATTGAAATTCCCACACTAGCAACCATCACAAATATATAGTATTGCTAAGTTAGCAATACTATTTAAACCATTCATGAATAATTTTGTTTGATGTTAATGATATGAATGAGGTGTCCAAATGCTATGGTAGTCTCGCGTAGCCAGACTCCTCCCCTTTTTGACTTGGGGGTGGTGGGGAAAGAGTCTGGTAGACTGCCCTACATCAACTTGTTCAAAGGGCGACCGTCGGCTTGGTCAGTGTGACTGACGTCAGGCAATAAAGACTAATTAAAGAGGTATAATTAGAAAAGACGGGCGTGGCTACACAAGATGGCTGACGGTCTTCCTTCAGCAGTGAAGATTTTCTACCCATTTTGGCATTATTCTGAAGGGAAAAGGCTTTCTGAAGCTACTGTT